AGCTGGAGAAGCCACATGGACCTACCCTGATGCAACCAGACGCCTGGAGCTGGAGAAGCCATGTAGAGACCCCTGCCAGCGCTGAGATGCTTACAATGCCACTGGATCCACAAGACTTCCCACCCACTGGCCTGTGATCCTCCTGCATTCGGCATCATTGAATTCGGCATGAATTTTGTGAGTCTGAAGAGGACTTTATAGATTGGTATCAGACATATATGGGCTAATATTGAACGTTTGGACTGGATCTGGACTGGGCTGGGATGTTTTCACAATATTCAATTGCTCTTATATATAAACCTCTTTCTTACTCACATGAGTCTCTATGAATTTGCTTCTGTAGTCTATCCGGACTAACACCTGGGCTCAAACATCTAACCTTGAGTTAGCAGCCCAGCATGTGACAACTGCACTACCAGGGCAGTTGTCTCTTCTGGGTTTCCTCCCTCTCACAGAGATGACGGCGGCCAGGTGGGCCAAGGAGAAGGAGCAACCTGGAAGGCGGAACGTGCTAGAAAGACAGGGCAGCCAGGACTGGATTGACTCTCTGTGATCACGGGGGAAGGAGGGTAGGGACACACCGGAAGTTGCAAATCACTCTTCAATCTCATTTACCTCACAGGCCAATCGGAGTGCCTCTTCTGAGTCAGGCAGAGGGGCCTGGCTGGAGCACAAGACAGCACCCCTGTCCGGTACAGAACCTACTTGAGGGAGGGTCTGACTCTCTTTTCAGTCCCTCTCTCAACTCCCTTCAGGAGTCTTGGTGGTGGTGGGCTGCTAGCTGCAAGGTCAGCAATTTGAAACCACGAGCTGCTCTGCAGGAGAAAGCAGGGCTTTCGACTCCCAGGAAGCGTGACCGTTTTGGAAACTCACCGGGGCAGTTCTACCTTGTCCTATAGGGTAGCTATGTGTCGGCATCGACCAATGGCAGTGAGTTTAGTTTGGGATTTAACAACCCACCCTACAGAACGACCATCGCCTTGCCAGGATGACTGGTGTGAATGTTCATTTTCCCTCCGAACAGCCACTGAGAAGTTGGAAGAGACAGAGATACTTGGGGG